ATTAACAAATAGGCTTTCAATAGAGCTACACCCAAACAGGCATCTCAAAGTTCCTGCTTCTTTTCCTTTGTCTTTGTCCTGACCACATGGTCAGACTAACACCTCCCCCGACCTGAAGCCAGCTTTGATTCGGCCATCTTGTAGTTCTGTTGTCAGCCATTTTGTTTTGTAGGCCAAACGGCACTTTGATCACCACACCCCTCTCTCTGTGTCCGTCCGTCCGTCTCTGTCTCTCTCTGTCTCTCTCTCTCTCTCTCTCTCTCACACACACACACAACTGACCCCAACATAAGTGGTGCCTCCGTGAGACACCCGTATTTTATGTTCACAACATAATTGGTGCCTTTGTGTGAGACCCAGGAATGTTAACCATTAACATATTTGGTGCCTCTGTGTGAAGCCCAAATTTAAATTCACAACAAGACGTACGATTTACAAAGCTGATATTTAACTAGCCTGGACTATGAGTCAAAAAACTAATGAAATCTAAATTTGGGAGTGATACACTATTAAACTCTACTGATGTTGTGATGTATGAGATCAGTCTGAACACCTGCAGTGTCCAATACATAACAGATATTCAATAATGTGACGTGTCAGTCACTGAAAGACTTCTGTTGAGGTTGCTCTTGTGTAAAATTTGCTCTTCGCTCCCGAGAGATCCCTCCTCGCTCCTCGATCCCCGCTTTTGAGAGCACAATTAAGAGCTCTGGGACAGCCTTTAAGACGGCGCAACAGAACAACTTTAGGTTTAAGCAACTAAGGGCAAAAACCTCCCTCACTTGGCAGCTGGACAGATCCACCAAGCTGCTTGTGCCAATGTAGTTTAGTGTCCAATCCATTAAGGCTATTTTGACAGGCCATGATAGAGTTAAGTAAAGATGATAGTGATCTCTATGCCTTACCATTTATTTAAGTTAAAAGTATACTATGCAGAATTATCCTAAAAAAACACTGTATGGACTCAATCGTAAGTAATCCCTCTCAGTTATAACTTCAAGAAGTCCACCATCATTCCTGCGCCCAAGAAAACAAAAACAACCTGCCTTGAATGACTACCGCCCAGTGGCTCTCACCTCTGTAGTAATGAAGTGCTTTAAATGGCTGGTTAAAGGGAAATTTCGGTTTATTTCAACCCGTCTCCTATCGTCCTAAATTTGTTTCAAGTGACGAGTGACATAGAAATAATAGTTAGCATGTTAGCCGTTAGCCTAGATACAGCCGTAGTGTCAGACCTGTTAAAACTGAAGTGAACGGGCATCCCTTCAAGTGCAAAGTTAGTCCACTAAACAAGCTTTTTTTCCACAAAGACCGCCTCATATCGTTAGGATAAATGTCAGAGAACGTACAGAAAACGACATGTAAACGTGTTGTCTTACTTTACCGGTGTGCTGCCATGTTTGTTTATCCCTCTACCTCTGCTTTCCAAAGCGCAGCCGAAATATATCTCACCAGCTCTAGATAAAGCCCAGCTGGATACTAATGTTACTCCAGGTGGAGGTGTCTCGTCCTCAGTCACATCCAGACCTTGAAAATAAGGCTGCAACCGGTCCCATTCCTTGCAACAGAGGCATTCCTCTTCTGTGGGCACTGGGGCACAGCATCCACAGGTACACCACCAATCTCCAGAACTACGCAGCCTTGCGGCAGCCATTCCTCCCCTTTCATCCTCTAACGTTACCTGTTGCGCCTCTCTCTCTCCTCCTCCTCCGTTCAGGCTACTGTCCGGTTCTGCCTTCCAGCTGTTGCTGCTTGTTCAGGCACGCTATGAGATCGTTGCTTGTTCTCGCGATATCTCGGCCGCACTTTGGAAAGCAGACACCGCTGCGCTGACTATTTTGCATGTGATGCAAAATATTAAAATAACGTCATTATAACACAAAAAATATAAAAATGTTGTGGTAAGTCTAGGCTATAGCCTATACCAAGGAAAAATTCGAATATTATTCGAATTTTTAACATAAAAAACATTAAAAATTCGAATCTGATTTTGGGGGAAGATTGACAGCCCTAGAACCTTGGATCCACTACAGTTTGCCTACAATTCCAAATGATCCACAGAAGACGCCAAAGCACACACTTCACACCTCACCAGGAAAAGAAAGGGAGCAATGTGAGATTATTGTTAACTGACTTCAGTTTAGTGTTTAACACCACTGTTCCCTTCAGGCTGGTCGCAAAGCTCATGGAGCTGGGCTGAAACACTTCACTGTACACATGTGGATCCTTGACTTTCAAAACAGGCAGACCCCAGGTGGTGAGAGTGGGTGGAGACACCTCCTCCACCCTCATCCTCAACACCGGAGCACCCCAGGGCTGCATTTTGAGTCCCCTGCTGTACTCCCTGTACACACACAACTGAGTAGCCACTTCTAACTCCAACACCTTTATTAAGTTTGCTATTGACACAGCTGTAGTGGGGCTGATACAGGTGTCAGTATAACAGTGACTCAGTGGTGAGTAAAGCAAGGCAGAGACTGTTTTATCTCAGACACTCAAGAAAATTGGTATCCCCTCAAATTCTGAGGAATTTCTCCTTCTGAACCATCGAGAGCATCCTGATGGGAAAATTACTACCTGGTACCGCAACAGCCCCAAACAGGAGCACAAGGCCCTGCAAAGAGTGGCTTATTCATCTGAACACACTATAGCTGCTCTACCCTGCATAAAGGGTGCTTATACCAGACCTCGCAAAAATAAGGCCAGGAGAATCATTTCAGATCCCAACCACCCAGGTAACTGCATTTTCTCTCTGCTGAGGTCGAAAAGAAGGTATCGGTTACACCACGCAGCTCTGAGACTCGGGAGGAGCGTTTACCCTTAGGACACAAGGATAATGAATGATGACACAGTCTCAGACTGTTATAATTAAACTCACTATTTTTTAAAGCAGCAACAGATAGCATCTTTTCCTAAATATATCATTATGAAAATAATGTGGGCTGCACCGGGTAGTGGCCACAGTAAAATCAGACTATCAGCATTTACATAGGTTACTTGGTGGCTTTGCAGCAAGCTTCTGCCACCGGTGCTGAAATTTCGCGGGAAAAAAATCTGCTTTACGGCAGGAAACGCGTCATGTATTGCAAAATTGGTCGGTCAGCCAATCAGGGACTGGAACGAGTCCTTATGAGGAGTTGGGCATGAGATAGTTGAGTCACCAGCACAATGGCAGACGGACAAAGTTTGGAAACAGGTGAAAAACGGCCTATTTCTATTATTTCCGGTGTGGTTTGTCATTTGTCCAGTCCTTTTACCACCTGCTTGTTATTGTTTCCCGTTTCTTTCCAAAGTTTGTCCAACTGATGTCATTTTTGAACACTCATGGCATTTTGGAAGTGTTCCAGTCTGGTTACAAAGCACTCCACAGTACCGAGACTGCACTCCTAAGAATTTTCAATGACATATTTTTGACCACGGACTCTGGTGACTCTCTCATTCTTGTGCTGTACAACCTCACTGCAGCTTTTGACACTGTAGATAACATTATTTTGCTTTCCCGTCTGGAGCACTGGGTTGGCATTAAAGGTTCAGCCTTGGAATTTTTCAGGTCATACCTGTCTGGGAGAAGCTTCTGTGTCAGCCTAGGAGACGCTACATCCTCCACAGCATCTCTCCACTGCGGAGTGCCGCAGGGCTCAATCCTTGGGTCGATTTTGTTTATGCTATATCTGCTCCCCCTAGGATCCATTTTTAGAAAACATAGTGTCTCCTTCCACTGTTACGCGGATGACAGTCAAATCTACCTGCCTCTAAAGCAAAACCATCCTGACTCCTTAAAACCCTTGTTTACATGCCTGGAGGACGTCAAAGCATGGCTGGCTTTAAACTTTTTAAATTTTAACGACAGCAAAACTGAAGTTATGGTGTTTGGTCATAGCAATGCACATGTGTTTCCTCCTGGTCATCTAGGCCCCCTTGAACCTTTCGTGAAGCCAACTGCTACCAATCTAGGGGTAAAAATCGACTCTGACCTAAAGATGGACAAACAGATAAATGATGTAGTGCGAAAGAGCTTCTTTCAGCTCAGGAGGCTGTCCAAGGTTAAATCTTTTCTATCACATTCTGTTTTTGAAACTGTAATGCATGCTTTTATGACATCTCGCCTTGACTACTGTAATGCCTTGTATGTAGGTGTTAGCCAGGCCTCCATCTCTCGCTTACAGTTAGTCCAGAACGCCGCTGCTCGTCTGCTAACTGGTACACGTAAGCAAGAGCACATTAGTCCTGTACTTGCCTCCCTCCATTAGCTTCCTGTGCGCTATAGGATTGATTTCAAAATTCTGCTGTTTGCTTTCAAGTGCCTTTACGGCTTGGCACCCATCTACCTCTCTGACCTGCTGGAACCCTATGTCCCTCCAAGGTCCCTCAGGTCCTCCGATCAGCTTCTCCTAGCTGTCCCTAAATCCAGGTTGAAGCTCAGGGGAAATTGGGCTTTCGCAGTGGCAGCTCCAAAACTTTGGAACAAGCTGCCTCTTCATGTTAGGCAAGCCCCCACTCTGCAGGTGTTTAAATCACGCCTCAAGACACATTTTTATTCTCTGGCTTTTTCAAGCACAGCCTGAGTGACTGGTGTTCTTCATGTGACGCTGTGTATGTTTCTTAATTATGAGTTGTGATTGTGCGTTGTTACCTGTTTTTTCTTTTACTTGCAAAGCACTTTGGTCTCAGCTCTGTTGTTTTAAATGTGCTATATAAATAAATTGGTATTACCAAATTGGTAAATTGGTTATTGGTATGGTATGGTATGGTATTGTTTGTGACATATAGAGTAAAACTGCTTGAGGCTGAAACCAACAATTATTTTCATTATCGATTAGTCTGCCCATAATTTTCTATCTAGTCTATGGGTTGTCAAGTTGTTATCACAACTCCTAAGAGTCCCACACTAATAAATCCAACTTAAAATTAAAATGTTAAAAAGTTGCAAGTGTACTGCAGATTTATATATTACACAGACAGAAGTGTGGAGCAAGGTTGACTGGTAACTGTGGGTTTACCATGTTCAGGCTCTGGGCAGGGTCATACTTTGGTCCCATTACAAATGCTCTCTGTCCTTTCTTGACCACTCCGCTGTAGACCCGCGCAAATGCTATAAAGGTCTCCTGCTCTTCTTCCTCTTCTGGCTTTGAATCTTTCAGTGTGAGACTCTCCATCTTAGCTGACAGGGAGAAACAAGAAACACAGAAAGTGTTCCTGTGACATACAATCACAGGGAACCAAGCAGGATTTATACTCATGAATAGAATCAACATCGTGCCCAGCCTATACCATAACCTACGCCATGGCCTGACGTGCATCCCCTCAAAAACAGTAACTACACACAACAGACCTCCTGTCTATTTTGTAAGATGAAAACCATTTCCCTGAGTGGAAACAAAGCTTTTATTTACTTTTATTTCACAGATAAAAAAAAAACAATATATTGTGAAGACAATAAAACCCCAACAAAATAGCATTTTAAATCTTGTGTGTGATTTATCCTGGCCTCATATGAGTAGAGGAAATCTCCACTGGTCGCTAGGCTAATTTATACAATGTAAAATGCCATAGGCTTGTACTTACAACGTTAGCATGTTGTATTTGTTTGAAAAACGTGTTTATGATAAGACAGGTGTTTTGTCTGTGAATCCTGTGAGTTATAGTGAAGCCAATTTGTGTACTTGTACTTGAAATTGTCACTATTATGCCATGTTTAACGTGTGTTTTGAATCAACTAAACTTAACAGCACTTTACAGGAACCCCACCACCGACTAGAATTTGGGAGATGTGCAGAGTGACACAGACACACCAGCACACAAGTCTAGATGTTTACAACGGCATAGACCACATGCCTAGGCTATGGCGTAGGCTCTGCGTTGAGCTGACACACAAGTATAAATCAGTCTTTACTTGTACATACTCTGACACTGGATGCTAGATCATGTTTTCCTTTTTTTAATTTAGGTTCTTTAGGTTAGCTGCATCCAAAGAATCATAAATGCCTCTACCTGCTTGTTCTTTACCTCCATGTAATTTTTAGTGATACTTTCTATTAAAATTTATTCAAATTTCATTATTCAGTAACAAATGCAGCTTTGCCTCTTTTGGGTGAGTTTGATAGAAGTGCTAATATCCTATGGATAAAATGCTGCCAATATAGTGCTCGTTTCAGTATTCACTACTTGCATCTCCAGCATTTCCCCACATCAGGCACACGGGTAAAAAGATAGATGAAAAGTGAGAGATAGAAATGAGTTAAGAGAAGAGTTCATTTTACCTGTGCCAAATCCTGCAGTTTGGCCTTCCTGTTGCATACACCCTGAGTATGTGAGGTCTTTGTTGCTTTCTGCAGCTGCCTGATCAGCTGTCATCCTTTCAGCATGTCTCTTTCTCACCAGCTCTCTGCGCTGGGCAAGCTCCTCCTGGGTCAGTGGCCTACACAGACACAGACACAGACACAGACACACACACACACACACACACACACACACAAAAAACATCAACTATGCTGTAGAGCAAACCAAGTTCAGTCTAGAGAATCCCATCAAGACATGACAACAACCTACATGCTCAGCCTCAAAAAAATTCTTCTCATTCTGTATTTGGGTTGGTAAATATAATACAATTCAGTTAATAACCAGGTACGTAATCTCAAAGTTTTGGCTTATTAAACCAGATAACTCAGCATACATCAGATACCAGCCTGACTACATTCAACTCACTTTGTCATTAAGGCTACTCAAAGCACATGCATTTTCCTTCCTTCTCTCTTTTTATAGTGCACCAACCTTTGCCACCCTCTACACCTGACCTTCCGGTTGGAATGATTAGCCATTCATTCAAAGGGTACATCACCTAAACTAAGAATTTCAACATGTTATTTTCATGGCCTGTGGAAGTTCATGAAACTGTAGCAATACTACTGAACATTAGCTACTCTCTCTTAAAGTCAGAAACCAGAAAAGGAAGTCTCACACTTGTGATGTCATGTGGTATAAGGTCCAGAGCTCCTCCAATGAATGGGAGACTGATTTTGTTTGCTTTCTTTCTATATACCCAAATGAAATTTATTCTATTGTAGTGTTCTGCTGAAACAGAACATATTCCCATGTACTCAAATCATTCTCCTGGATGTTCTCAGTGTCATCTAGAACATCTTTCACCATTCATTGTCTATGGAGCAGCTCCAGACTTTATATCCTATGACATCATCACATGTGACATCACAAAGTTTTAGCACTCTGGTTTTTGGATTTGGGAGGGAGTTGTTTATGTTAAGTAATATTTTGGATTGTCTTAGATCAATAGCAATGGCATGTAAGAATTTTTAAAGTGGGTGTAGTTCCCCTTTAAACTAGAATGACTGCTTTGCGGTTGTATGCCTCCTTGAACCCGTCAAGTTGCAGTTATTGAACATCCATGTCCATGAAAACATGGATGCTTCACACACATCTTCCCCCTCAGCAGCACAGAAGATCTACACGATGGGGCCTTCCCAAACCACCCCTTACAGTCTC